AACTTGGCTCTAATGACAGCTGAATATCAAGGTTTTAGACTCGTTAACGCAGCCATGTTGTATTTTTTTAATATTTTTCATTTTTTTCATTTAGCCTTTATTTATCCAGGTTAGTCTCATTGAGCCACGAGAACTCATTTGCAAGAGAGACCTGTTTTAGGGAGCACATGGTGGGGGTTAAGGGCCTTGCTCATGGGCCCAGAGTGGGACGAATGAGGGTGGGGGCAAGTGTGGGTGTTTCACCTACCCCACCCACAATTTTGATGTTGTCGGGGCCGGGGCGTGAACCGGCGATCTTCGGATCACAAGCCCACCTCTCTAACCTCTGCGCCACCACTCCCCCTTGTATATGGTGTATATTTAAGATTTATATCCGTCCACTTCCAGAAAATGAGCACATTCAGAAGTTTACATCCACTCATCGCAGGCATGAATGTTGTAAAAATATGGAGCTTTGTTGATTTATTTGAACGGATCTTTTTCCAAGTGAAATGATGATACAACGTACAACTTCAATGGTTTTTTTTTACAAGAACTGGATGCACAAGTTGAAATTTAATTATGGAATTAATCAAATGTACACAAGTTCAAAATTATGCATGCAACCACACTACTATTTGAATAAATGTTCCTTAACAAGCTGCACCTCAAACACACTTTTAGGTAGTTTTCACACCAGATAGTCCGGTAGACTCGGTTCGGTTGGGGACCAATGTTCATGACATTTGTTTACATTTGAGCTGGTGCGTTTGCATTCACACTGCACTGTGCAGTCGAGTCAACCTGTTGAACCAACCTATCCCCCCTCTCGCCTGTGGGGGCGCTGCACCAAGAACTACTGAAAGAAATGACACAAAAACCTCTGAAGACACGTCTTCTTCTTCTTCTGGAAATAAAAACAAAAACGAAGTGGCATCAAGTTTTAGCAGTTTTATTCTGTAATTTTTCAAAAATGGAATTAGCATGAGCACAAGATGAGACAGAGACGTATAAGGTCAGAGAAATGCGTGTTTGTTTGTCCTGTGGAGCGGGTCCGGTCTGTTTACATTCACACTGTACTCGAACCGCGCTGGAGTTCTCTTCTACCGGACCGAGACCTAGGTTTCAGCCCGGGCCACAGTTCGTCTTTTTGTTCCGTGACAGAGTTCGATGGCGCGTTCACACCTCCCTAACAAACCGAACTTTCTAGGAAAACGAGTTAGAGTTCAATTAAAGCGGACTAAACAGGGCGTTGTTTAGTCCGCTTACATTATATGGAGCTGTCAGCTGCCTTGTGTGGAAAAACAATATTCTCCATGGTCTTCTGTCTCATCTTCTGCTCATGCTAAATCCATTTTTGAAAAATTACAAAATATAACTCCTAAAACTGCTAAAACTTGATGCCACTTCGTTTTTGTTTTTATTTACAGAAGAAGAAGAAGAAGTGTCTTCAGAGGTTTTTGTGTCATTTCTTTCAGTAGTTCTTGGTGCAGCGCCCCCACAGGCGAGCGGGGGAACAGGTTGGTTCAACAGGTTGACTCGACTGCACAGTGCAGTGTGAATGCAAACGCACCAGCTCAAATGTAAACAAAAGGTCATGAATATTGGTCCCGAACTGAACCGAGTCTACCGGACTATCTGGTGTGAAAATGACCTTAGCATCCCAATGACTTTTGACTAGCTGCAAATAAGGACACTCTACTGCGACTGCCTGCATCTTTATGTTTTGACTATGAAACTAGGGAATGAAGCAAACACTTGTCATGAAACCTTCTTAGTAGCAGATTGGCTCTGGGTTTGTGCATGCTCGATTCACTGGAAGCTGATTGGCTCTGGCATCCAGGCATAGATGTACAAACCGGATTCCAAGTTGTTATCAATGCTCCGTTCAGAAGCCTGCATCACTGATGGTATGGGGTTGCATGAGTGCTTGTGGCATGGGCAGCTTGCATGTCTGGAAAGGCACCAATGCAGAGAACTATGTTCAGGTTCTAGAACAACATATGCTCCCATCTAGACGTCGTCTCTTTCAGGGAAGATCCTGCATTTTTCAACACAATAATGCCAGACCACATTCTGCAGCAATCACAACATCATGGCTACATAGGAGAAGGATCCAGGTACTGAAATGGCCAGCGTGCAGTCCAGATCTTTCACCTATAGAGAACATTTGGCGCATCATAAAGAGGAAGGTGCGATAAAGAAGGCCCAAGACGATTGAACAGTTAGAGGCCTGTATTGGATATGAATAGGAGAGCATTCCTATTTCTTAACTTGAGAAACTGGTCTCCTCTGTCCCCAGACGCCTGTTGAGTGTTGTAAGAAGAAGGGGGG